AAAGAAAGAAAGAAAAGAAAAGCACAAGAACCTTCTACCGCAGAATCGACTTCGGACTGGACTGTTTTATATTTGAGCCTCCAAAGTACGTTTTTCTAACCCAAAGCAAACAGTTGTAGAAACAAAATCCTACAAGGTTTGAATTAAAAGACATCAGTACAGGGCGCTCCATCCAGCTTTAGGATTAAAAACCAGGGCAGCTCTTTCGCGGCTTCGGGCGCGCCCCACGGTGGTCCGCACCCCTCCACAACCGCGCCCGGGAAACCACCGTCCAGACCGGCTCCGTCCCTCTGCGGATGCTGCTGCCCGCAGCGTCCGGGCGTGGCCGCGGGGACCCGGCCGCCTCTGCCCCAGCCGGCCCCGCTGCGCCTCGCGTCCGGACCTGAACACCTAATGTCCTTAGTGTCCCCTATCTTCCGTGCTCCACCGGTCACCGAGGCGCCAAGGGTGTCGGGGCCAGCAGCGTAGACAGAGGCCGCCGCCGGGCCTCAAGGGCGTCTCCCGCGGTCCCCGCCGCGCCGGCCAGCAAAGCACGGCAGCAGCTCTCACCGGGCCAGCAGCTCTCACCGGGCCAGCAGGACTGCCCAAAGCGCCTCCCGCTGCCGGGAAGGGCTCGAGATCGGCCACCAGCGCTGTCCAGGCACACTGCCGCCCCGTCTGCCCCGCTCTCCTTTCGTGGCTGCCGCCTATCTCACCTCCGATCTCACTAGAGGCCACCGAACCTGGGCGCCGGCGCTCCGACTGTCTCCAGTCAACGGAGACGCGGAGCGGAAGGAACGATGAAACTACGCACGCTCAGAGATACGACTCTGCAACCAATCAGAAAGGATCGTCCGATCGCCTAGCCAATCATTGGGCGGCTGCCCTGCCTGACGGCCTACGTCACGAACGGTCGCCTTAACAACCTCCCACAGCTCTCACCGTGGCGGAGAGCCGGCACCGCACCATCTCTCACCACGGCCTGGCCAACCAATAGCCGGCCGAGTCCCGGCACCAGGGCCCGCCTATTGGCCCGCGGGCCTTGGGGGCGAAAGCGCGGAAGCCGCTAGGGCGCGGCATAGGGGCTGGCGGGTGGAGTGGCCGCCGCCCCGCACCTGACCTGTGGCCTGCCGGAGGGCTCCGAAGGGCCCTGAGGGGCGGTGGTGGGAAGCGGGGCTGGAGCTGGAGGAGCGGGCCGAGTCGGGCTGAGAACCGAACGCTCGTAACTGGGCGAGAAACGGGGCGTAGGGCGGCCCTCGGCGCTGCGTGTGGGGCCGGCTCGGCGCATCTTTCCCCGCTGGTCCTGCAGCGGCCGCACCTGCTGGCCCGGCCAGTCTGCCTGGCGGGCCTACCCGCGCCGGTGCCCGCGCCGCCTCGGACCTGTGAGCTCCGCCTCACGGCGCTCCCCACCGAGCAGCTGAAACCCTAATTACACCTCCAGGACCGGCCTGGACCTCTTCCTTCCCGGATTCCCCTGAGCGCTGTCATCTCTCGCGTCGCACACCCACACTTCCGCGCTAATCTGTGGCAACTTCTTCAGGAGAGCAGTTGTACTTCCCTCCATTTCGAGAGCCCATGTTTTGAAACACAGTGCCTGTGAAATACTATAGTCAGTATAGTTTTTATAAATTTAACAGTAATTTTAATAAACTGTTCTCTTGTTATATTTTGTGATCTTTATAAAATAGATACACTTCTCATTTTAAAAGAAGAAACCACAAACGCTTGTTAAGCAGTTTGACGCAATTACAAAAACGAGGTTTAGAACCCAGATCTAAAACTTTGTTTCGTTCTCCTATTTTCCACAGCAGTAGTAGAGCATGTTTATCCATGTCTCTATTAAATTATTTGAAATATCAGAATGTGTAGGGCACGATGGTTGGCATTGGAGATACAGAATAGCAACAACGTGACAGACGTGGCACTTTATTTTGTGAATGTTACATAGCGAAGCAAAAGGAAGCGGTAGACTAGCCAAAAATTACAATGTCATCAGATGCAAAATAAAAGGAAGAAAAGGAAAGGAGCTAAGAAGAAAAAAATGTAAGTAGCAAGAGATGAGAAACTGGTATTTTGGAATCACCCTAGAAGTTTGAAAGGCCAATTGCCTGAGAATTTGAAGTTACAAGTTGCACAAATACTAAAATTTAAGGATTTTAAAGTTGTTACTATAAATATAGGGCAAAACCATGCGGGGGGCCCGGCATGGTGTCCCAGTCTCAGCACTAGGGAGGCAGTGGCAGGAGGATCGTTGTGAGTTGGAGACCAGCCTGGGCTACAAAGTGAGCTCAAGGTTAGCCTGAAATGTATAGCGAAAACTTATCTCCAAAAAACTAAATAAATATAAAGTAAAATCGCCATGCATGCTGGGCATGGTGATGCACACCTGTAATCCCAGGACTTGGGAAGCTGAGGCAGGAGGATCTCAGTGAGTTCCAGATCAGCCTGGGTTGCAAAGAGCGTTTGAGGCCTGCCTGAACTAAGTAGCAAGATCCTGTCTTTAAAAAACAGAAAAGCCAAAAATCTACAATGAAAAATAAATGCAATAAAAGGCAAGACCAAGGTTTGGAAGCTTTCATACCCCAACTCTGCTTGATTGAGAACTTGGTTGAGTATATGAGTTCAAAAGGAAACAATAAAAAAATAATTATCTATGTAATGTTCTTACAGCAACTTCTGTATCCTTCCAAAAGCAGACTTCAAAAGAATTTTGACTACATGTAACTAATAATTCATACTTAATGATACACTGCAAAACTTGGCCTGGGTCATGCTTAAAGATGAGGAATTATAACAATAAGTATTAGTCTTTTTGATATGTTAGCTAATATCAAAGTACTTTGGACTGACCAGAGATAAAGCTACAGAAATAGAAAAACTAGGTAACTTGCCTAAATTCACATAGCTGTAGAAATAGATCTGAAGTATGAACTCTGGAATCTGGCTCCAGACACTACCCTCTTTCCATTACATAATGTGTTCTACTCTGTCTTAGAACATACTGTATGATTGTTTAAACCTCGGATGCTCTATTGCAAAACTTTTGCTAGTGTCACTTAAGCGTTGTATTTGCTTAGTTCCTAGCCTAACTCCCAGCTGCATTCCAATTTATTTATTTATTTATTTATTTATTTTTTTGCGGAACCGGGAATTGAACTCAGGCCCTTGCACTTGCCCGGCAAGCACTTATTCTAGTGAGCTATCTTCCTGGACCCTGCATTCAAATTTGTATGTTCCAGCCTTGAGCAGAGTTCCAACTCCCCCGCCCTTTACACTCACAGTTTAAAAAATTTTCTCTTTTAAATTTCTGGATGAATTTTTAAAGCAGTACATTGCATGTGATAATGGGTCATAGTGCTTGAGAGACACGATGACATTATCACTCCTGCCAAAGGTCAAGAAATATTTACTGAGGGCTTATTCAGTGCTGTGCAAAAGCTTAGGTCCTCAAGGGATGGAGTTAAATATTTTGATAATTTATCTTTTCCAGGCAACACAGTAAATGCTTGGATGAGCTGTACAGAGAGAGGGTCCAATGGGAAGAGTTGGGGCTGGCTTGGAACACAGAAACTGGCGCAAAGCCTAAGCTAGGTACAAAGGCCAAAACTGAGCACAGAAGTAGGGAAAAAGAAATGTATGTATACCCAAGATAGCCAAGATCATTGTGCTACTAATTTCTATTAGTTCACTGAAAGAAGGTTATGTTTGTATTGTTTGATCAATCTTGCATGCCTACACCTGGTGATCTGAGCAACTACATAAACATAATATCAAAGATTATTTTCTAAGCATTCATTTGAAATGTCAATGGACCTCTCATTAACACCTACTCTTGAGCTTTAGCTAAATCCAAGAATTTTTTTTATTTTATTAGTACATGTTTGCATCTCACAAAGTTTAAAGTCACGTTGCAGAGTAGTTACATATACATGCTACGACTTCTTTCTTGAATCCCCTTCTCCTTCCCTCCTCCACCCCTTATCTGTCCATTTCCCTACCCCCACCTTTTTTTTTTTTTTTTTTTTTTTTTTCAGAACCAAGGATTGAACTCAGGCCCTTGTGCTTGCTAGGGAAGCACTTACTCTACTGAGCCATCTCCCCGGCCTCATTCTTCTTGATACTAATTTTAGCTCATGTTATGGAATATAATGTCTACATGCATTGAGGTTATGTTTCTGTACACAGTTGATCTTCATTCTATTTTCTTGCCTTTCTTTTCTTTTTCTTTTTTTTTCCATACAGAGTCTCTGCACATAGCTGGGACTTGTAGTGATCCTCCTATCTCAGCCTCCCCAGGGCTGGAATTACCACCCTGGGGAATTGTATACCACCACACCCATGTTCAGTGGCCCAAATGGCACTCGGGGTGGGCCAGCAGGTCATGCAATACCAGGGATCAAACCAGGTCCTTGCACATGCCAGGCAGCCACTTAGACTGCAGAGCTATCTCCCCAGCCCAGTTTTCTTCCCCTTCACCTCCTCCACATACCTTGAGCGTTTTTTGTTGGACCATTTGCCTACTCCTTGCCCCCTTGTACCCATCCTTTATTATTCTGTCTGTAATTGGCCTCATTCAAATGAAAGTACCATATGGAATTGAAGTTTGTGTGTCTGGTTTATTTCACTCTATTTTTACGAGGTTCCTTCATTTTCCTACAACTGTTGCAGATATGTCATTATAGCCAAATGGTAGTCCATTATATATAGATACCAAATTTTCTTTATCAGATCATTTGTTGATGGGTATACAGGCTGTTTCCAGAATTTAGGGATTACAAATTGTGCTGCTATGAACATTGGTATGTATGTATCCCCATAGAATGACGTTGTAAGCTCTTTGGGGAAGATACCTAGCAGAGAGATTGCTGAGTCATACACTTTCTAATTTCAGTTATTTGAGAAGTCCCCACACTAATTTCCATAATGCTGTACTAGCTTACATTCCTATCGACCACGAAGGAGGACTTCTTCGTCACAGCCTTATCAGTATTTGTTTTTGTTTGATTTCTTAATGATTGCCATTGGTTTTGAAATAAGATGGAATCTTACCTTTGTTTTAATTTTCATTGCCCTAATGGCCAAAGATGTTGAGCATTTTTTCATATATTTATTCATCATTGGTATTTATTCCTCTATAAAGTATATGTTCATTTTTCTTGCCTATTTATTGACGAGATCTTTAATTTTAGGTGGTTAAATTGTTTTCTAGTTCTTTGTATATTCTACATATTATTCCTCTGTCTGAGGAGTAGCTAGCAAATCTTTGTCATCCATAGGTTCCCTCTTCACTGTACAGAAGCTTTTTAGTGTGATATCATCCTATTTGTTGATTCTGTTATTTCTTGTACAGTTGAGGTTCTGTTTAGAAAATCCTTTCCTACATCTTTTTTACCTATTTTATCTTCCAGTAGGTTTAATGTTTCTTTTTTAATGTTCAGATCTTTAATCCATGTTGATTTTAGCATACAGTAAGAGATGAGGGTCCATTTTCAATCTTCTGCACACAAATAACCATTTCCCCCTGCACTAGTTGTTGAATAGGTCAGCTTTCTTCCAACATATGCAAGAGTCCCTTTCATACAGATCAAATAGCTGAATGCGTTTTTCAGGAAGGTTCTGAATCCTCAGTTTTCTTCTATTGATCCAGGTATCTGTTTCTGTTTTAGTGCTGTACCTTTTTATTAATGTTGCAGTAGTTTGAAGTCAGATATTACTATGCTCCTGCTTTTTTCTTACTGCCAAAAATTTCTTCATCCAGAACTCTTCTGGTTTTGTATGAATTTTAGGATTGATTTTTCTAG